AGCTACCCAGATACACGAACTTCTCACTACGTCTATCTGCTCACCATCCAGGGTGAGTACAGGATTAGAATCCTGCCAGTCTTGTAGAAGTACTTTGCACTTCGAAGGTGCAAAGCACATACCATACCTACGGACACTGATTGCCAACTGATTAAGTGCGGATTGCATGCCTTGGGCATTATCGCACAGTAAGACAATATCGTCCGCATACTCAAGGTCGAGAAGTCTTTCTCCAGGCAACAGATCCACACCACCATTACTTACATTCATCAGAGCTGTTTCCAGAATGTCATCGATGGCAAAGTTGAAGAGGAATGGTGAGATTGGGCAACCCTGCCTAACCCCACTGCTCGAATGGAACAATGGAGAAGGTGGTTGTATGCCCTCACTCTGCCTGAGGTGTTTTTATATAGGGCTTTAGGATGTTAATAAACTTCTCAGGCACACCCTTCTTCAATAGACAATCCCAGAGAACAGTCCTGTCCAACGAATCGAAGGCAGCCCTGATGTCAAGAAACACTACGATTGTTGGCCTTTGATAAGTATGGCGGTGTTCTAACATTTGGCGGAGGGTGAAGATATGATCAATACATCCTCGACCAGAACGAAACCCAGCCTGCTCCTCGCGAGTCAATCTTTCTCGAATGCCCTGGTACGGCCGAGAGTGGGGTGAGTCCGCTCTCCCTCTCGAAATACTCTCACAGGGCCGCGCGTATACAGCCTCTGCCAGGGAAGTCCTACTCATTGCCTTCTCGTGGCGGGGGTGTTGTTTACGAAAATGAGAGGACGAAAAGCGATCGTCCGGCGCTTTAACCGGATCACAAACCAATGGTGCACATGGGCTCCAGTATCCTACGGGAACAAATGCGTATGAACCAATCTTTGGTCACCGGCTACCATGGGATTGCATCTCCTTACGATGCTCCACTGCCTTGTGGTTAGACCTTTAGGTCAAAGGCTCGGGGAGTGGCCCCCTAAGAAAACCACCTGCTTCGGTTTGGGCACCCGGGCAGTATCACAGCCCACACACAAACGATGAACTCTATGTCTTTGGCAACTACTTTTATAGATGACGTAAGTTGGCAAAAGTCAAACGAGCTTTCCGAATCCGTGCACAAATTTCAACAAATACTAACCCATTAGGGCTGATCAAACTTCCAAGATAAGTGAAGTTGTCGACGCGTCCGACTACTTCACTCCCTATCCTTAGTTCAGGTGTTGACGCAATCCAGTCCTGGAGCAATAATTGCATTTAGAGGGGAAGAAGCGCATTCCAAACATTCTGGCACTGTTGCTCAGTGCTACCAAAAGACTGCATTTTATCAGCGTCTTCGCCAAACAGGACTATATCATCTGCGTATTCTAAGTCGATAAGTGGACCTCCTGCAATGCTAGTAGTTCAAAATTAACACACAATCATCTGGGAGGGATGTGGGTTTGTGTAGTACTACCAGTCAATAATTATAATCAGCATAAAGTCGGGAACAAATGTTCCCCAGTCCAAGTTACCACACTGTATTAGCATGACCAGATGAAAATAAAACGTGATAAGAGCGAAAGTCGAAATAAAGTAGTAGGAATGATAATGAAAAACAGAATATTGTTTGGAAGAACGAAGTAGGAAGGTGTATGTGAAGGAATAGCGGGATTTAATTATATTGTAACTTGTTTGACTATATTTTGTGCCATTACTGTTGAACTGTAAAATCTTTTCTTTTGTTTTTTGTACCGTATTTCACTTTTTAAATACAACTGACTGATCACTGCACAGTTAGCAACATTAATCTCACGATTACAGGTACACCTTGTTAGTAAAACCGAAGCAGCACGAAACTCAGGTCTAGGGTTCCCCGTCGATTACCTTCAATTATTAACCTCTCAACAATCTGCATGCGATTTTGAGTCACCTGGATTAGTAACCATATTGAAACTTGACCAATGGGATTTTATCAGCACTAATAAGGACTAGATATACATAATGTTAGTCACTATCCAGTAATCAACAAGTTGTAAATATCTTAGTTTTATAGGATGTCAGTCGTAGCTCGAATAGCTTAACGGTAACACCTCAAACTGTGAAGCCGGGTGGAGGTTCAAATTTTGTACAAAATACAAGTCTTCTTGAGATTACATGGATATCTTGCTGACTAATCTTGAATAGCGCGAGACCAAGGTCCAGGGTTTCCTGTCGACCACCCTCATCCACCTGACACATTTTACTGTTTGATAACAACCTTCGTTTTCTTTGCTCTTTGTATTCCTTTTTTACGGTGGTTTGCGTTGTATCCATGTCTGTAGGTCAAATACGTTGAACACAACAAGTCGATAAGAGCCTTCATTCTCTCATTTCGGAAATATGCCCACGCCATGTAAATTAAACCCAAAAACAAAGTTTGGCAGTCTCCTGGCCACCTTAAGCAACAGTGCAAGTGTTTCGGATGGGATTCTCTCCCTCCAAATGCAAAATATTGTCTTAGAACCAGTCTGCATCATGTCCAAGATTAGTGACAGAGTGAGCTGATTGAGTACTTCGACTGCTTCACTTATATTGGGAGTCTCATCAATCCTGATGCCTGACCAAATCTCGGCATGGATTCAAACTGCTCAGCTGGTGTTTATCAACCTGTTCTAGTGTAGTCAACATAGTCAACTGAAAACCAAAGGACAAGTTCACTGTTTAACTGTACTCTATTTTATCTTATGCATATAAAACAGCTTTCAAGAATAGAGGATATTCGTTGGCTACTACTACTCGATCACAGGCGTCTTCGAAGCACCACTTGTGCATTTTGAGACCACCTAATTAGCAGTGCTGAAGTTAGGTAAACGGTACCAGAATAAGATAGCAATCCGGTTGACGAGGTGGTGAGTCTCTGTTGACTGAAGTGGTTGGGATATGTATTACACATGCCTAACTGCTGAATACATCAGCAGGCAATGTTGATTGGTGTAAAAATAGGTTGAGAGGAAACCAGGAGTGGAAAAAGCAAGATGTGGCTTTAGGCCATGAAATCATTAACTACTGGACTAAGTTAAGGTTACTTAGTTGGGGTCCATGTGATTATTGTAACCGATGGCTAAAGACTTTGGGTGACATGGGTGAAAATCATTGGCGATGGCGCAGACGCATTCACCTTTTATCTCCCCTAATTTCCTAAGCACTGAATGATCAAGTTTGTTAAAGTTTAAAAACTGACTCAAAAACAAGAGACGAAGAAAAATAGGATATTCTTGAAGTCAAATATTTAAAAGGCGCTAAAGAATAAATGCGTCTGCACTACTGTTACGAATTACAGGCCATTTCATCTCCGATCTACTACTGTTCACAACTATTACGCAGATTCCAACCAGGTATAGATTTTCGGTCATAGTCCTACTTGTATAATGATGATCATATATATCTTAGTACAACGTATAAAACAACTAGAGAACAAACAAATTAGACGATGGGACAAACCTAAAGTAACAAGACAGCATGTGTTAATTGTCCCAAACTTCACTCGAAAATGGATGATAATGTAGAAAAATTATATTTCATTCCAACACGTCACACTAGACACAATCACTTTGCTGAGTTTTTAGTGTTTCAAAGTCAGAGTATTATGTGAAATAACAAATAACATATTCAACTACGCTGAACAGTTAGTTGAGAATATGATTGTTGGACAATTATAAATAAATAAATTGGATAGACTATAAATAATCTCTAAAATATTGTGCACTCGTTTCTTAATGTCATGTAGCAGAGGATTTTAAATGATTATTTCTAAAATGAAAAAGAGAATGCTGATTAATAATTAATACACATAATAAGGTGTGGCTCCGTAATAGCTGCTGATGAGACTAAACTGTTGCGTAAGCCCGAGAATGATTTGAAGTCAGAGTCAGTGACCAGTAGCCAGAATAGTATTTTACCTAGTGAAATTGCATGTTTCCAAACAAACTATCAGATAATAAGGCTGCTATCACAAGAAGTCGTTACGTCACTAAACGACGGTTTGACTTGTCGTACGAAACTGAAATAACTGAATAGTAAGAATATGAGGAAGAGAGAAATCACATTTTGAAATGCACTAAAACTTAGTTAAAAATGAGTTAATATGCAGGTAAGAAACTGAGTAAACGAAGATGTGATAAGACGTAAAAATCAAGAGAAAACTAACGAGCATTAATCCACGCTTTCTTGTCTTATGTTGTCACTTCTTCTATCAGCAGGTAATTCGTGGATAATTATAGTCTTCCAATATTCTCTATAGTCTGCTAACAAGATCACAAATACACTGGTTCGAGAGGGGCACTCAACATGTAACAGATACGTAATGTGAGTACGTACTTAATCTCCTAATTTTTGGGAAAATTTGACCCATTTTTAGGAAATTTTGGAGAAATGGCACCAAAACCCCAAAATTCCCCTAAATTTTGGGTCTTTCCCCAACTTTGGTGAAGGTCATTTGACTTTGAATATTTCCCCGAAATTGGGAGCTCAGGTAGGATATCACACAGGTCCTTCCTTGTTGATAAACAACCCAGAGATAATTTCTTATGGATCATTACGATCAAGCATTAATGCTTGATTATAACCAACATGTTGTGTGTGCACACACGAATATAACGAGATATTTGGTGCTGAATTACAAATCCATCCTACACTACTTAACTTCAAATAGACTTCTTTATAGAAGGTAATAAAAAAGAGGGTTATATACATATGCATCCCCTAAGGGATACATAACAGAATTCTATTTCATTTCACTGTAAACATTTTGTACAGAACGCTTGCAGTTAGATCCCAACCGTAAAAAACAAACTTTTTTTGTGACGGTAGCTGGTTTGCTTATTTCCAGACGAATTGTGACATATGACATGACAGACCTGACTGATAACTTACCTCCTAAGTAATCCACATTCAGTAGTGTTTTACTTTAACCCTACCGCTTCCAATGATAAATGGTTTCGAACGGTAGTGCATGGATTAGTACAAGCTTTCCCTCAATGGTCTTTCGTATAGAGTAGTGGTGGATCACCGACGCCTCCAGGTATGAACTTAAGCATATTAGACAAGCAAGAAAGAAATATCAGCAAGTTATAGTGAGATACTCCTTTGAGTCCTTACGATTATGTCAAATTTCCTCATGAAGAACTCCTGGGGAAGTCGCCTGGATCACCCCAACTGAGAGTTAATCCAAGGATCTGACTACTCGTACGGAGCAGAAGGTGTGCTTGCTGTCTATTCTGCTATGTCGCGCCCCTAATTTCTGAGTATTGTTCCTAAGGTTTGTTTTAGGACTGAGCTTTAGCCAACAGGCATAGTAGCTGTTATAACAGCGAGCTCGTATGTCTGGCTACAGCACAGTAAGTGATTAAAAACAGTATGTGCAATAATATCTTGACAGTTAGTAAAGGAGCTCCTAACAACTCAGAGACAACATGGCTGACAACAACGACAAAGCCATCACCAATGAAATAGCTCCAAAATGACGAACCTGCTATCCGAAACAACAAAATTCCCTACTTATTCAAATATCTAACCCACTAGGGGTATTATCTGTAGGATTTTCGGCATAGACTTGTATTAGAACATGTCTTATTAGTCACCCCCAACTGTCTTTGTACATTTTGTGTCATCGTGGTGTTTATTATCGTTGTTATAGATAGGCAGTGTAGTCAACCTACACGTCAAAAGTTTCGTCTTTGAAGCGCACTAGCTCATTTAAATCTTTCCTGAAGAATCTTACTCCACCAAATTGTAGAATGGCAATACAGTCAGAGATTAATATAAACTTGAACTCAGTGTTTTTACATAATTTTTTAATTTAGGAGACACTTAACATGCTAAGGTTGAACACTGTCACTATCTGAAGCGAAATTTCTCATAAATATACTGACTAAAACAACTTCTCTCCTTGTCTGATCTTCAGATTACTGGCGAAATTTGACGGATGAGTAGGAGTCTTACATGAATACATTTATTTTATATTGTTTATGACACTCGCCCGTGGTGATAATCAGCAATATGATATTTATGACTTCTGAGTTGAGGATAGAATAATAGATTTGGTATGAAAAAGAATAAGTTGCACAGTTACCACGCAAGGATGGCTGAGCCATGCGACTGCAACTCCGTTCCGGCGTTCACTACGTTTGACCTTCTATAGGCGTTACATGTCGAATGTAAATCTTCCCAGTAAATATATATTTAGCTTCAAAGATCATGTGGTTAGGAAAAATACCACTACATCTTTGGCATTTCTTGAAGTCTCACACCTGCGAAATCTGCACAGTTTTGCCGGGCTTGTCACCATGCAAATCGAGGTATGTTCCCTTTTCAACTTCTGTCCATCAAAATCTGCTCAACCTTTCAATAAACTATCATCTGACGCTGAAACATTAAAGACGATAGAAGAATTTTATTTGGAGTCCTTTCACTCATGCTTTTGAAGCGGTAGCTTTCTCAGGGCTTTTATTTCTACTAACAATCACCCATTTCTCTGTTCCACTACCAGTGATGGAGACGTTTGTATATGTCGGTTATTGATTCATTATTCCACCTCATTACTTTCAGCCAGATTCAGTTAACGGTTCATTCTTCAGGACCAGCTGGCGCGTATTAGGGGGATTCTTGTCTGAGAAGAGGTACAAATCTTGTTCTATTCCAAACAGAAATTGAAGAACTAAAAGAACTGGTTAGTGTTAGTGTGAATGAAGCAACACCTAGTGTAATCGCTTGTAGTATTTGCATAATCATTGTAAATCTCAAGGCCTCCTTTTGTAAGACTACAAGAGATGCCGTTGCTATCGTTTCTGGTGAATAGTTTCACAATTTAGTGATTTTACTCACAAAAGACCCATATAAACTTTTTGCGGGCTGGTTTGTGTTCTGTCGTGAGTGAAAGTTCTCCTAGGTGTGATTTATCAGTTATTTATGAAAGTGAAGAGGATTATGATCAATAAAATATATCATGACGACAACCCCCTTGAATTAAGGGAATATACTTCGAGCGTTCCTTTTCAAATGATGACTTAAGTAAACAGGATAGCTTTACGTAATTCAGGGGCCTGGCTATCTACTATTATGCAAACAAATTCGAAGACACAATATGCTTTTTGACCGCAGAATGTCTGTAAGAAGAAATATATAGATTATAACAAAGTGTAGTCTGTTGTCCTTTTCAGTCGTACGGTGTGATACCGAAATCCGGAAGTAATTTTACCACTGCTCACCATCCATATTCTGCATTCTCTAGTGTTAAGCGGTACAGGGCTTCTGCTGGTCGAGTCATATATTCTATCCAAGTCTTGTTGAGGAGACAAGGTAGCATTTAGTTTTATTATCTCCTTCAAGATCTTAAGGTCATTCAGGCATAACAGGGCTTTATGTTCTAGAACACTAGATAAGTTGTTGATAAACGATAAGAAGAAAAAGGATCCTATGATTGAATCTTGTGGCACTCCACCTATCATTTAGAAACTGTCAGACAGTGTGGAGCGAACTGTAGTTGCTTGTAATCTTCCCGACGTGCAGTAATAGTAATCTATTTCCAAGTGAAAGGAGCTAAACAAGGCGTGGCAAGTCATTTTACTGAACACCCACCGGCACATTTATCGTGTGTTTTAGTCAGTGAATTCTACGAATAACAATAATTGGTGTCTTTGAATGGTTCAGAATGCCTATGTGACAAGGGTTTTTATGTTACAGTTATAGGATTCAAGAATTCCTGACAGTCACTGAATCCATGTCTGTTATGTTCATGAAAGAATACTATGCTGTAAGTCAGAAACCACAAAAACATAGAGTCAGTAATTAGAAAGTGTCTATGCAAGCACTGTTTCTGAAATTCAGTGGGTCACTTGAAACAGTGATGGGAGCAGTCTCGCCAGCTGAGGTGTCGTTCACAAAGACATACTTTTGAAGGTTACTGAACAACTCGAGGGATCAAAAGATTTGCTCAGCAGTTAATTAGGTCTACTCAGTTTGGAGGACGCCAATGTTCTGATACAAAGTAGAGCCTTCTACTGTTTATCATGGATCTTAGTCCATACAGATACAAATGACGTAAAATTATGGAGAGGCACCTTTAAAGAAACCTTACGGTACTAATGAAGTGGCCACAAAACAGTTACAGCTCACACTTCAGAAGCTTTATATAATGCTCCATCTCATTCCAGAAACATGGGTATCTCCTTTTCAACGGTGTAATGTGGCGTGAAAATATTTTTTTAAAAAGCTGGTTACAGCTATGGAAGAGGCAAGCCGAAGGATAATTTACACTTCACTTCGCTCAAAAAAGCTGGATTTTCTGGCTTCGAGTGTTCTTGTGGTTCAGCATCCCTTAATTCATTGTCACCAATAGGCAACGAGAAGATCGGCTCCAAGAATGGCCTCCTTCCTTGTGCAATTAAGAAAATCCATATGGAACGTCAACAGAGTTCGAGGTCTAATATTAATGTTATATCCGAGTGGAGATTAAATTACAGGTAACTCCCGAGGACTATTAATGGACTAATATTCTATAAATATTCTTATTGTATAATTATTCAGCAATTACATTACGTATATTTATATTCCTCTTATTATAAGCTTTATTTTGACCTATAATTTATTCTTATACGATTTAAGGTTCTTAATCTATGCTCAGTCTATTATTCACTGTCCCCCTCGTGCACAGCCACTTTTGGGCTTATTTGTGTACACATGTTATTTTCTAATTTATGGTGCGTTGTGGTTTGTGTGATTGATATATAAACCAAGTATGTCTGAAATAAACGATCTGCTCTGATTCGAAGTTGGTATTGTGTTCTGGACTCAAGTGGAAGGGCTCGGAGAACATAGGACCAGTAAGGACGCTAGACTGCCCGCACCGGTTGAACGTCATTGGTTGGCCTAGTGTGAAGATTCGTATAAGTCGTATTCGGATTGGTAGATAAGTCGTGTGATCGAAAAGTCAGACATCCAAGTTCATTACAATTAACGACTATTTTCCTTATGTCATGAATAGTGTTTCTTTGGCCACCTGTAGGGATACTTTGCTGCTTGAAGTGTGTCGCCGCCGTGAGGATTCTAGTGGGAGTATGTTGGTTTATGCCCCTGTGTCGACTAAACGTTTGGACCAGAATAGTAGTTACTGATATGGAATAGACAGCTTGCTGTCTGACCAGAAACAGTCGTCACCATCACTATCTAGGCTGCTCGTTTCCTTAATTTTCATCATTGTATGTTGTGAACGTGCATTGTCTTATGCATTATCATGCTTTTACACTGTGCCAACAAACTCCCGGCATTTCTTTGAAATGCTATTTCGAAAACGAATTTTTTTAATACCAATCTAGCTCGCCTGGCGTGGACAGTAGACACAGTTGCTTGTAATGCTGCCTGCTTTTTATCAGATAAATGTCGTTGAAATGTAGCCATGCCACTGGTATCCAGTCTGACATCAGGTTATACAATGTTTTTGGTATGACCATCGTGTTACATCTCCATAAATTTACCTGCCATATCTGTCAGGTCCCTCAGTGTAATTGGTTTAACTAACGTGCTGAGAATCTGCCTTACATTATGAGGTAGACTTTGTGTACACTTTTGTTTCAATAAAGCTTCACCTAATGTTTATGGACCGGCTAATTACTTTATATGACTCAAGAGTTGTGAAGGCTTCTTATCTTTTAAATAATAAATTGGTAATATTTGCTGTATGTTTACCTTATGGATCATGCGCCGGCACTTGTTTGGTTAAATCATGGACTTCTGCAGTATTTAGATAAGAGGAGAACGTACTACATGTGTGTATTTCGGTGTATGTGACCGAATTCCTCGAGCTATAAACAAAGCTTATTTTTGGGCAAACCATATCCTTGGTTGATTATCCCATGTGCAGGAAGTCTGAATTATGGGGTGGCATTAACTGTGGTTAAT